AATGGCTCAAGAGCAATGTAGGCATGGTAAGAAATTGCACCGTTGAACCTCGACTTATGCTCTCTATGTTAAGTTACTCTTAAATCTTTGAAACAGGACATTTTAGTCTTTGATCTTTCATCATTGCTGCGCAAATTAGGAGAAAAAAATCATCCATTACTGTTAAAATAACAAAGTGCAAGAGTAAAATGGCTCCAGCACATATTTTTAATGAAAACTTATTAAAAAATAAAAACAATAGGAAAATGAAAAAGAAAAAGAAAAGAATCCATATTACCGCGAGCAAATCCCCGATTCCTGTTAACGATTATGTAATTAATCCGTATTACCGAGAGCAATACGACACTTATATAAAAGATCACCAACAAAGACAATCACAAGAAGGAGCCAAACATGACGGCATAAGCGGTGCAAATTCATATGGATTAACAGATTAAGCTAGAAGCATTTTAGAAGTATTGTAGAAGTATGCCTTCTGTCTGCCGGATAACTTTTACATGGTCGGGTCCTTGCCAAACCTCATAAGAGCATGAGTTGCGAACATGGAAGCTCGGCGTGTCATCTCCGTGATTCGGCCTACAACGGGAAACTTAACTGTATCCCTATTCCATAAGGGTTTTTTATCCCACCTGTATGCATTTAAGCAGATATTCAACAAAACCAGGAAAAAGCTCATGAAATTGTGCACGTGTTGGACCTGAGATACCCAAAATAAAAAATAAAAAAAAGAAATGCGGCCTACACGTGAAGGAGAACATAATTTTATAAATAAGTTTAAACCATCTCATGCTTCTCATAATATCCTAGCAAACAAAGGTCCTCGATTCAAATATAACATACTCCTGTTTACGAAAATTATGAACAAGTTAGGCACGTGACAAAAATAAATCTAGCTTGCATGTGAATAGATGTGCATGAGACATAATTTGAATAGATATGTTTGTTCCCTCTCTAAAAGTTTAAACCTTTAGATGAGGTGATTCGACTATTACAAGACACAATAACTGTGCTTGCTAGTTCACTCTCAATATATCTCTTAACATACCTTAATTTTTTAAATTGATAACAAAGCGTAAATATCCAATCATTACTCTTAACTGAAGTTTTTATGAACTCCAGCGATGAGACTTGTCATGTCTCAAGACTACACTTTCAACCTCATTAGCCATCTTTGTGAATTTTATATTAAACAGCAACAAAACTGAGCAAAGAAATAGTTTCTTAACCTCGTAAGTTTCAAAAATATTTAACATGAAGACTTCAACACAGCAGCAAGGGCAGGTTAATTATAAGTATAAAATGTGTATGCTTACCAATCCTCGTGACGAACAATTTTCCCATCCTCTATGTACAGCTTGATGAGCGATATCATATCTATGTCTTTCCCCATAAACTTGTAATATTGTTTGTTGTCAATAAGTATCTGGAGTCCAAGTTTAGATAAGACAACAAACTGAAAATAAGTAAACACAGTCCAGATAAAAATGTGAAATGGATTACTACCATTTAAAGAATATTGACACTTTAACGATAATTAGATTTTCGACCTCCTCCTTTCCAGGTGAAATCACATTTTCTTTGATACTGTACTCCACAATTCTCGATTCACTGAAGACCTGAAATTAGTAAATGAACACTAATAATGACATAAAGCAATCTGTGTTAAAAACCATGCAACTATCTCATATAAAACAGAAATTCTATAAATCTACGGAGCCAGAATATTAAGTCAGTACAAGTAGGTTTAAGCGTCAATCACTTAAACTCGCATTCTAAGATATCACATATAGTCATACAATATGTGGTCATATGCTGAAACTAATATCAAGAGGAAGGGTTCCCTCAAAATAAAGGCATACCCAACACCAACTTTGGTTGTAAACTATGTCATGTATTTGAAAAGAGCATTACTTTAGCTTCTCAATTTTGAGACAAATAGTGCATTGAAATTAACTGTAACTGGCTTAGTTGGAAAAAAAAAGACATGGATGGACTAAAAAGTCAAATGTGAAGTAACCTTAGCAAGTGAATAGAATGCCGATTTGATCTGTTGTACCCTGCAATCAACAGACATGCAGATAAGACCAAGATAATCATACAAGAGGTTTAGAATTGATTCTAGAAAGTAAATAAGCCTCCTCAACAGAAAAGATGAGACATACATTCAATTAATCTAACCACCTTTTTCTTCTAATTATTGTCCCCATATTCTATTTTCCATATTTTCATTCTTTAACTGTTTTATCATTTTTCAAGGACTGGGGATTGTTCATGAAGCAGAGTAACTAGAGTTACAACTAGTACACGTGTATTGATGTCGAATAAAGTAGGATAGGAAACAATGATATTCGGATGAGGAATTCAGCATTCTCATAGTTCTGCCTATTAGACTGTACTGTAAATGGTCAACAAATCTGAATAAACTTCAAAAACCAACCTTCACTTCCACATATGATATTAGTGATTACTCAACATTAAATGGCCCGAATAGCATTGCTATTAATGGATACTATTCCTACATCCTAATCAGTATCATCTAAAGAATCACTTTCCTAAATGGACAAAGTTTTATAGAGAATCATACCCTCGTGCGCACATGAGGGGGTCTTCAAAGGTCGCATGTGGAGCATAAATGTTAAAATCTTTAGATGTTGCACGGGAGGCATAGCTGCAATGTTGGCAGAGAATTAGTGAATGGAATAAATAAAAGTACAACTTACAGTAAATCCACAATTTATAAAAAAGTTTTTTGTCAGTTTGACAATTCTTCAACTAACCAAACCCAAAATGAAGAAAAAACATATGCCCTACAATTAAGAGGCGGTCTTGAGTTTAGCGTTGAGAATAAAAAATTCTACAGCATACACCACGTGGGCAAAACCATACTATAGATTTTTACTAACTGATTACTTTCTGAAAGCACTTAAATATCTTATCCACCCCTTTATGAACACTACACCAAGAGGAAAAAACTAATTCCTCTTATCCATTTCAATAGAGAAATGCATCCTAGATAGAAGAAGACCATAGCTGGAATTGTCATGAATAATGAGACCTCATCTTCATGTGAATAGCAATGATGATGGGCTAAACTTGTCGACTGAATCATTTTGGGGTCAATCTTCATATATATACATGGTACACACGCACATGCACCAAAGCGTAAACATTTAGTCGTATCAAGATTCAAACCTTAATCTATCATAGTCCTTCAGATAACCTCTCCCTCATTTGTCAATAGCATTTAATACTAATCCATAATATGAATTTTAGAAGAACCTATGCTACTTATCTTTCCAATATCTCAGCCTCCCTGGATATGAACATCAAGAGCAGCAAAAGAGTTACATAATTACATTTCCCTTCTAAACTCCAACTTCATATTACTCTTTTTAATATTCACAATTCTCCATATTCCTTGTACCAATCATCTTATTAAAATAGTTTTTCCTCCAAAAAAGAGTGCCATTTGTAGATGATATCATCAATCAATTACACAATACACTTATACACCCATGAATGCCCATCAGAAAACTCAGTTCATTCCTCCTCAATCTATCAAACCATAGCCCGGCTTTATCAGTACTATAGGCAGTTATTGAGATATAAAGAAACATATTACGTTACGACCCAGAAAATTATGATCTTTGAAAAAGTTACATTCTAACTTTTAGCATTTCATTCCCATCGGGGGAATTTTGTTAGTTCATTATTGTTACACCCTAAATTATCTCATGTTGGGCCAAGGCTTGGGTTCGACCCATTAGGCTCACGAGGCCCATTTCCATTTTCTATATATATGTGAATCCATTTCATTTTAAGGTATGATTTCTAACCCTATCCAAATTCCCCTTCCTGCCTCTTGCACTTATTTTTCCCTCGTCCGGCAGTTGACTTGACCGTCGGAGTGTGAACGGTCGCCGGACATTTTTATTGGCCGGCGGCCTTTTGCCTTCTAACGGGGTGTTTAGTGTGCAGGAGGTGTCCACGTGAAGCGGGCGTGGCAAGGATTCTGTTAGACCATTTTTTGAGGTCAACAATTATTATTAAATTATGGGCCATTGCATAAGATTTCAAAATTAAAAAATAAAATAAAATAATAGAGAAAGGCAGATACAATTTAAGAATAATTGACAAGGGGCAGGCACTCACAGGTTGAGAATGTGAGGGAGTATATCATCAGCTACACCTTTTGATGGGTCACAAGCTTCCTTGCAATACCCTTCCCTCTGCTGTTCTTTTATCGACTCCTGAGTATCTTCACCAATAACCCCAAAAAATAACAAACACATAAATACAATTGAATTTACCACGTTAGAATTCATCGCCAGAATCTCAGTTCACAAAAACAACTATTAAAAAAAATTAGAAATTATAAGTAATTAAAAGTAACAAGAAATTGAATGAAAATCAAAACCCAGAAAGAAATGAACAAATGGGATGCACCTTGTGGGTAATTTTTCATGATGGATTCAGATATTTTGTGCCCGTTTAGCGATGAAATAATGGTTCTGGTTGCTGTGAGAGAGTGGAAATGTGGGAGAAGGTAACATGCAGAAGAGTAAAAGACGAGAAATGGAGAAAGAGTTGAGGATTGGTGTGGGGCCACGTGGCAATAGCTTGTCCATTTGCTGGCTCAACGGCCGGTTCATTTTCGTGAGAAATAAGGAACTCTTCATGTTTATCTCTTGCCAAAATCTAAGCAACTTCTCGCTTTCATATATTTATTGAGGACATGCCACAAATTACAGTCTTCCAAAATTGACTGGATTCTTTTGCAAGTTAAAATAAGTTCATTTTGATTCTTTGAACTTAGCCCCCCGTTTGATGAAAAATATTTGGAAAAAACAATATTTTGAAGAATGATTTTAAGAGAATGTGTGATTAAAAACTATAAAAAAGTTTGAGTTTACGTATCGAATATTTTATTGTGTGAATGTGTGTAAATTTAAATTTTTAATTACATATTGTCTACATTGCGGACACAATTCCGTACACAAAGTAGTTCTTTTGAATCACCTTTTGAGTGCGCAAGAGAATGCGTCATCAAGAACATGTTTACAAACTTTAAAAAAATAAAGTTGCATTTGATCCAACCTTTGAAAACTCGTTCGATTTAATACAGGCTCTCGATTGATTCCACCGTAGAAGTGATGAACGATAATTTTTTCGGAAACTTTTTAAGTGTGTTTATCTTCCATTATTGTAGAAGAAGTGGAGTAATGAATAGTTTTTTTTTT